TTGTAAACTGTTCTAAAAACACACAGATCGAGGATTTTTTTTTTCTCAGCTCTATTAGCAAGGGGCGGCAGTCTGAAGTCTCATGGTGCCAATCTCAGTGAGGACTGCTCTGATCCCTGATTGGAGGGAAGGGACACCCCCCCTTTCCACAGTACATAGAGAACACCCACAGCTGTGGATATCAGTCACAGGCTGTGTGCAGATCCTCTCCTCCCCATCACCTTTTTTATATCTTGGTTTGGGAATAGTTTTCAGAAGCGTCTTATACACTCATCAGCCACTTTATTAGGTACACCTGTTCAATTGCTTTGTAACACAAATCGCTAATCAGCCAATCACACGGCAGCAACTTATTGCGTTTAGACATAGTGAAGGCAACTTTCTGAAATTCAAGCCAAGCATCAGAATAGGGAAGAAAGGGGATTTAAGTGACTGAACGTGGCATGGTTGTTGGTGCCTGGAGGGCTGGTCTGAGTATTTCAAAAACTGCTGATCTACTGGGATTTTCCACACATCCATCTCTGTGGTTTACAGAGAATGGTCCGAAAAAGAGAACATATCCAGTGAGCTGCAGTTGTGTGGGCGAAAATACCTTGTTGACCGAGGTCAAAGAAGAATGGGTAGACAATTGGACAATAGGAGATCGGAAAACCATTGCCTGGTCTGCTCAGATGGTAGGGTCAGAATTTGGTGTAAACATGAAAGCATGGATCCATCCTGCCTTGTATCAACGGTTCAGGCTGGTGGTGGTGTAATGGTGTGGGGGATATTTTCTTGGCAGACTTTGGGCCCCTTAGTACCAATTGACCATCGAGTATTGTTGCTGACCATGTCCATCCCTTTATGACTAGTGTCCCCATCTTCTGATGGCTACTTCCAGCAGGATAATGTACCATGTCACAAAGATCAGATCATCTCAAACTGGTCCCTTGAACATGACTAGGAGTTCTCTGTACTCCATTGGCCTCCATAGTCACCAGATCTCAATCCAATAGAGCACCTTTGGGATGTGATGGAATGGAAGATTCACATCATGGATGTGCAGCCAACAAATTTGCAGCAACTGTGTGATGCTATCATGTCAATATGGACCAAAATCTCTGAGGAATGTTTCCAACACCTTGTTGAATCTATGCCACGAAGAATTAAGGCAGTTCTGAAGGCAAAAGGTGGTCCAACCTGGTACTTGTAAGGTGTACATAACGTGGCCAGTGAGTGTATAGTTAAAAGGAGGCAGCAGAAAGAAATGATACTCAATGCTTTGGATAGACAGGTACACAGTATAGAAGGATGTGCTTTAGTTTATAATTCATGTTTGAGGTTTACAACCACTTCAAGCTAAACACCCCACTCCCTGTCCTACCCATCCTTGTCCCTAAACACTTACCAGGCTTCATCTCACTCCTCCAGCCCCACTCCCTCACTTCTGCTTTCACTTGAGAAACTGAGGGCAGCGGAGCCATAGGCTTCTGCTGCTGTCAGTCAAACTCCTATGAAGAGGGAGCAGGGGCATGGCTTGCTGGTGCTGTGTGTGTCTATGGATGCACACAGCCCTGCTCGCAAGCACACACGCACAGATGCCTCTTTGGAACACAAATTATTTCAGGAGGCATCCAGAGGAAGGAGAAGTTGATGGCACTGGAGGGGGGCTGCCAGAAGAGGAAAGCAACCTTTCTGTGCGATATTGTTGTAAAGAGCAATTAAGTATTACTTCTTTTGTATTAAGTCTTTAATATCACTTTAATTCAGTACCCCTTATGTAAAGAATAACAATTGGTTTGGGTGGACATGCTTGCTAGTAACCCCTAACTGTACAATATATAAATATAGAAAGGAAAAGGTATAAACACACAGTGGTTATTAACCTCTTAATGCCGACTGGCTGCATATGTGGGCTTTAATGCATGGCAACCACATATATGCATCTATATGTAAACTGTTTACTGTGCTAAGAGCTTGCTTATTGCGTGCCCCCAGTACAGTAACGCACGTGTCACAGAGAGCTCCTGATCTATACTTTTATCAGGAGCTTTCAGATCATGTGACCGCCAGTAACAGCGGTCACGTGATCGGAATCTCTGCCTCCACTGCCTGGCATTTGGATCCTCTTAACGTGCTGGGAAGTGGCCTTTGGAAGGGCTTAAAGCTGCTTTTGTTGCACATGCCCGTATTTCCTTGTAACAGTATAAATTCGAACGTATCCTATACGTATCAGGCGCTTGTTTTGATTTCATTTCACTTTTTATGGTGCTAAGGACACTTCAGAAATGTGTTTTTGATACGGAGGACACTGGTTTTTGTATTTTTAAAACTGTATTAAGCCCAAAAGCAAACACTTTATTATATTGCAGCTTACCAATTCTTTGCGGGAGCTGTATTGGGTTTCTTTTTTAGACTGTTTTTTTTTTTTTTTTTTTTTTTTTTTGTGTTTTTCCCCTAGTGATCTGGCCAGTGAATGTTATTTTTCAACAGGACAAGCTGTCCTGCACATGTAGCAGTTAGTAAGCTGCAATATAATACAATTTTGGTTTTGGATTTAATACCACTTTAAACTAAAGGCTAAGCTACACTTTTTTTTTTTTTTTTCTATTGTGCTGCCTATTAAGTTCACGGCATAATGACTTTCTATATGTAACTGACAGATGTGTGGATTAATCCATTGGTGCTCAAGGACCTCTGTGGTCTCAAAGCTCTGCATAGGAGCACTCAATGTGGGTTCCTGCCATAATCCAGCCTTACCCAGGCAATTACTACCTGAAGATATTCTATTGGCCTGGATGGCACAACAGACACTTGCTCAGGGAAGCTTTGCTGTGTTAGGGGCTACCATGTATTGGTCACATGGTCACTCCCAGGCTGTAAAACTTTAGGGATCAGCAATGAGCCAATCAGATTGGGGAGTTATTTACATCCACAATATACAGACTGCCCCATATCATGTAAGGAAGCAAATACCATTTTACTATTTCACATTTGATATAATTTTATAGATTCTTACTCTAGTTTTGTTTCTTGAGCAATAATTCACAACGAATGTTTTAAAGGCAAGATGTTCAAGCATTTTTCTTGCTGTATGGATGAAGATATAAAATCTTTATTGCTGAAACCTTTTTTTAAAATTGTATTTTTTAAAAATGTAATACGCAATTTTTAATACCCAACTGTAATCAAATGCATAGCCTATGTTGGAAAATATCAAGTGATGCCATTTCCTTTATATCATTTAAACGGTATAAGTGTCATATCTTAAGCCCTTGGGGGGGGGGGGGGGGAGGGGGGAGGGGGGGAGGGGGGGGGGGGGGGTGTATGTAGACTGACTTGTTTTGGTTTTTGTTTTGTTTTTTAAGTCATTATAAAAAGACTAAACAGGGGTGTGGAAATTTTTGAAAATACATTTGGCCAGGGACTAAACCTGTGCCCCAATCTACTTGTCCCTCAAGACAGTCTACTTGTCTAGGTAAAAAAATAAAATACATTTTAACCAAAACTGTATTTAAATCGGAGGTGATATTAGGAATATCTGGGGCTTTTAAAAACAAAAGGGGCTTTATGGCGACTTAAACGTTTAATATTTTTAACATTGCACGGTTTATCTCCTCCCCTTTCTGCCTGTCTCCAGCACTGCCCCCAGGGACTAGCAGGGAGGGGAGAGACCTTGCAGTGTAATGAGCACCGATTGCCTGCTCCTCAGGAAAGGGTGGGTCAGGGCTTATCCTTCATCCCTTTGCTGCCAGAGCCGTTTTTGCATTTTTTTGCACAAGTTATAAAAATCATTTTAGAGTGATGTCAGCTGACAGTAGGCTTGAGCCCCCTGTTGGCTGAAAAGGGTCACAGGAGTGCAGAACAATTCTGTGCTCCATAGAAGTATAGCCTAAATAGCTTTGACCATACTTCTTTTTGACAATTTTTCGGTAGCCCTGACCATGAACACTTTACCTTCCCTTTTTAAAGAGTGATAATGGTTATAAACAATTTTGTAAAAAACGGCAGTTTACAACTAGATGGTTCCTCATAGCTCACCTGTCACTGGCCATGCATATAGACACTCATTGCCGCACCCAGACTGTCTCCAGTCAAACTCTTGAGAACTATTTGTCATGGAGCCACTATTGTGTAAACACCAATTGACAACAATTGACACAGATCTTGAGAAATAACTCAATTTCATTTGAATATATTCTGGTTATGCCTATAGTACTCGGACTGCACCTCCATTTTTTTGCGGGGGGGGGGGGGGGGGGGGGGGGGGGGGTCTTGAGTTCACCTACTTTTTAATTGAATTTTAGATTGGTCTGTAATTGGACTTTAGAATGCCTAAAATCCACTTGCATAACAGCATTTTGTGTTTGGATGTTCTAGTTGGCAAATTAACAGTCTACGTTTAGTTTTTGGTTCACTGTAACATCAGTCCTGCTTGCAAAACTAGGTCTTCTGTGTACAACTATATGTAAACGCGAAGTGTCAACGTGACCTGTTTGCTCTCTATATATACACTGTCCAGGGCCCTTCACACCAGGTGTGGTGGGACTGCTGCATTGGGTGAATGCATTGTCTCCTATGTGGCTGGGTCACACTACTGTGTTGTGATGTGCACTGCAAACAATAAGGCAGGCCTTCCTTTTTAATTTTCCAGCAGTCCTCAGCCTCATAGCATGGGGTGGCCGATGATTTTTTGTGGTAACTGTTCAAAAAACAAAAAAAGTGAAGCGTGTGATGTGCGGCGATTGGCACAGCAGCCATCTCACTGCATTGCACAGCACACCGGCAATGGCTGGTGTGAATAGACCCTGAATGTGTTGTTATATACGCTTGATATCACTCTGATGTCATGATTTCTGGTGATATTTATCTCATATAAAATTGTGCTTTTAACAAAAATTGCCAAGTAAAGTTGCATATAATTTATGGAAAGTACATGTCTTGTGACATCAGTGTTTGTTAGTTTTTGTTTTTGTCAATCTATAAGGTGTTTAACATGAAAATGTCTGTTTTTGTTCTAGCTGACATTATTTCAACTGTTGAATTCAACTTTTCTGGAGACTTGCTAGCTACAGGAGACAAAGGAGGAAGAGTGGTTATATTTCAAAGGGAACAAGAGGTTTGTTTTTTTTTTTTTTTTTTTTTTAGTCTTGGTTTCTGGGTGTAATGTTACCACATAGCTGACTCTTTGAGCTGTGGTGGCTGTACTGATTGATTCTCCCGTGGAACTGATATTTATATACTGACCATACACATGGCAATTTTTTTTCTCAATTTCAGCCCTTTTTAATTCACCAGCAATCACAAACATAATCACAAATAAAGCAGTCAATCACCAGAATTGAATTAAATTCAAAATGTTAACTTCTCACAAAACCATCTTCAACTCCGCCCCCAGCTACATCACTAGCCTAGTCTAAAAATACCAACCAAATCATTCTCTTCAATCCTTCGAAGAGCTCCTGCTCTCTAGCTCCCTTGTCACTTACCATGCTCACCTCCAGGACTTCTCCTGAGCCTCTTCCATCCTCTTTAGCTCCCTACCCCAATCTATTTGTCTCCTACTTGTCCACTTTTAGGCGTTACTTGGAAAATCCTTCTTGGAGAAGCCTATCCTGCCTCCACCTTACAACTGTACTTTAATTTTCTCCATCAGCTCATCCCCCACAGTTTTACCTTTTGTATTGCTTGACCCTCTCCTTTTGTAAGCTCTAATGAGCAGGGCCCTCTGATTCCTCTTCAATTCTATTGTAACTGTACTGTTGTAAAACACACTCGGAAAGCTGTTGGAGCTATATAAATCCTATATAATAATAATAATAATTCTGTCACTTATAAAGTCAAAACTAGGCTCATATTGTTCAAATGCACTTTTCTATGCACAAAATTTACTTTTTTAACCACTTCTTGACCACACTATAGCCAAATAATGGCTACAGCGTGGTCAAGCAGTTCTGGGAGGGCGTCATATGACGTCCTTCCAGAACGCGTCCAGCAAGCGCGCAACTGGCACTCTGTGATCGTTGTGTCCAGCTGTGTACATAGCTGATCACATGACACAGTAAAGGGCCAAACACAGCAGCCTTTTACTACGTGATTAACTGTGTCCAATCAAAGCTGATCACCATGTAAACACACTTGCCGGTTATCAGCAGTACTTTCTTCACACTGTCACGGCATGAGGACAGTACTGCTAATGACAGGCAACTGTGAATGGAGACATCTACACATAATCAGGGCACTGATTATTGGTGCAGCCCCAATCTGTGCCTGTCAGTGCTGCCTCATCAACGCACATCAGTGAAAGAGAAAAATTACCTGTTTTGTAAAATGTTATAATAGAAACTTAAGAAAAAAAAACGTTTTGTTTTCAAAATTTGTGGTCTCTTTTTCATTTAGCAAAAAATAAAACATCCAGTGGTTATTAAATACCACCAAAAGAAAACTCTATTTTTGTGGAAAAAGATATACATTTCATATCGGTAGTGTTGCATGACTGCGCAATTGTCCTTCAAACTGCAACAGCATTGAAAGCTAAAAATTAGCCTGGGCAGGAAGAGGGGGTAAAAGTGCCAGGTAGGTAAATGGTTAAGTTAAAATGGAGTTGAAACTGGGTAAAATACTCCAGCAATCCTGGGCAATCAAGTTTTTCAACTGCCAACTGAAATCATTTTTTTTTATCTAGTCTCCTTGCGTGCCATCAAAATCATCAATTTATTGCTTTTGTGATCTTCAGGGAAAAAATGTGTGATCTCAAACAAATTTTCACATGTATGGACAGCTTAAGGGCTCATGTACATGAATGTAGAGGGCCATACTTTGACAAGAAGCTGTATATTTCTGGCCCTGAAAGTCGCAGGTGTTTTGTGTTTAGCCGGCCTGTCAGCCTGTCAATATTTTGTACATGCTGCCGGCTGCAGCTCTGTGTGAACACCTGTGACTCCCGAGCCCAGAAATATGCTGCTTCTTGTGTATAGCCCACTGTGCCCATGTGCATGATTCCTAACACTCTACCACCTCACCTCTTCTGAGCCATTAGAGCTTGTTTGGAGCACTTTACCTGCTTGTTAATGTGAATTGAAGTCTCGGTCAGTTGTAAATTTGCAGGTAAAACAAACACTTAAGACCTCTGATTCCACAGACTTGCAGATGAGCAGACTTTGTGCAATTTTAGCCTTTACCTGCTTCTTATGAGGCAAGTAACTGGAAATTGAGAACCCCTTTTAAAAGCCCCTTCTGTTTTATTCAGTGGCTTAATCTTTTAAATAGAACACCTGTAACTTTCTATCAGTGCTTGAGAAGAAGTGAAGAATGCAGTACAAATTGGGGTTTTGTCCCTCTAATCTTTTAACGGGTGAATTTCCTGACTAAAATGGGCATTTATAAACCATTTGTTGTAAATGTATAAAGAAAAAAAAGATTTTTTACAGTTTATCTGAATAAAAATGACCGACCTCTTTATGAAGTTCAATCTTGGTATTTTTTCCCCACAGAGTAAAAACCGTCCTCATTCTAGGGGTGAATACAATGTTTACAGTACGTTCCAGAGTCACGAACCAGAATTTGACTACTTAAAAAGTCTAGAAATTGAAGAAAAAATAAATAAAATTAGGTGGTTGCCACAGCAAAATGCTGCTCATTTTCTACTCTCCACCAATGGTAAGTATTTGACCTACTATTGAAAATGCATGAGGATAGTATCCAATATTCTTACATGGCTGTATTAGCAGTTTAAAATAATCCTTTCCTGAATGGGCTGCACTGTGTAGACTTGAACATGAGACTCGCACATCATGGCTAATCCCTCTGTGCTCCGTAGATTAGAATCTAATGATTTTGGGCAATCCCTCAGAAGTTTATAGTATCCATGTAATCACACTGCAGGAATCTGCCCAATCGTTTCCACCTGACTGTCTGTGTGTAAACTCCTTCCTCCCCACACCTGCTGCTGACATATGAAATGTGTCCATGGCAGTGAAAGGGTTAAAGCTAAGCTGTCACAAACCTGGGCAAGTCAAGTGATTTATTGATAAATACTTAATCAGACAATACATATGTCAAAATAGCTGACAAAATTAACTTTTTTTTTTTTTTTTAAGATCAAACTCTGTTTTTGCTTTTTTGCACCTTTTTGAGTTTTCCTAAAGGGCTGTAACCCTTTGCCTGCCAAGGGAATGTACTATACATTCTAATCCAAAGGGTTAAAACAAGCTATTGCAGCTGTCAGTTGTAGGTTCTATCTGTTGACTAGGCTCTTTGCACTTGGAGTAATCAGGTCAGTTGTAAAGTTACCTAATCACTTTTACAGGCTACAAAAGTAACCTAATAGGCCTCTTTCACATGGGCTTATGTGCTTACGTGTTTATAGCATTTTTTGACACATTTAGTATGTGTTTTTTTTTAAGCATTGCAGTTGAATTCATTGGAGGCAGCACATTACAGCAAAGCTTAGAGTACACCATGCCCTTAAATTCTTGACACCTACATGAAGGTGTATAGTGTCTTGTCTGTTTGCAGTTGTTTGAGTTGCCTAACACATTGGCAGGCGGTATTGGAACAATAAAAACATGGCTAAAACACTTTAAAACTGCATCTCTTAAGACCACGTGATAGACGCTACAATTGGTTGGCTAAGTTGTTGGTAAAAAGAAATTTAAAGAATTAAGTTTTTAAGGTGACATTAAAGGCTATTTTTTCTTCCCTAAATGAGTAAAAGACGTTCAATGAATACTGCACAGAGCAGTCCCTTACCTCTAATTAATTAATATATATATATATATATATATATATATATTTTTTTTTTTTTTCTTTTTCCCTGAAAGGGCTTTCCTCAGCCTTTATCTTGTCAGTTACTCCCCATTTTGTTCCCCTGTCCTCTTACTAGGCCGAAATAGACCAGCTCCTTTGCCAACAGACGCACCCCCCACCCCTTGCATTGCATTTGTTACAAACCTTGCTTAATTATTGGTTTGAATCTTAGTGTTTGCAAATCTAAAAATAAAAAACATTGCACTGGTTCCTTAATGTATATCTATGTATTTCACAATAATATTGTAATCGCACCTGCTGTTATTTTATATTATCTGGATGATCCTGCTTTTGCCCCTCCTCCTGATAGTAAACTGACCATGCCAATATGGCATCCGATCCATGCTAGCATGGTCAATTTACGGCGTGCCAGTCTCTTCCAGTGTCAGTGTAAACCGCCCCCCCCCCCAGCCCTGACTTGCAGCAGCTTCCCCTCCAGCTGCACTGCCTCTCCTCTTTGTGAAGCTGCCTACCAGACATGTACCTTGCCCTATACATGCCCACTGGCATGTTATGTGATCGCTGTTTATTTCAGAGCGATTCAGACCAGTTGCTGGCCGTGTATAGAATGGGATAGACACGTCTGACATCACAAAGAGTAGAAAATCAGAATATTTATTAATCTCAAAGGGAAATTCAAAGAGGAGCAGCTAGAGGGGAATCGGCCACTCTATACATGCCCACCAGGAAGTCCATGAGTCGTTTGGGAATACACAGCAATAATGTGAGCAGTCAAGAATGTATCGCAGACAAATTTAAAAAAAATTCTTAACATGGGTTCATTAAAGGCTTAAGTTTAATTATTCAAAAATGTTTTCAGCATCTGAGGTTTACAGCTACTTTAATGATTCATATTGTTTACTTATGTGCTTCAGCTGTCACTGGGGTAAAGGCTGAGACATACAATTTGTTAGGTTTTTTTTTTTTTTTTTTATCTTTACACAGAAATTTGTGTATTGTCATGTTCTACATTCTGAAGTTCATTGTTGCCCGTCTGCATTTTTTTTTTTTTTTTTTTTTTTTTTTATCCAGTCTGCACAACTGATTTTATAAGCACTCTTAACATGTGTTTTTTATTTACCAGACAAAACAATAAAGTTGTGGAAAATAAGTGAGCGCGATAAAAGAGTAGAAGGCTACAACTTGAAAGACGACGATGGTAGGCTACGGGATCCATTTAGAATCACCTCTTTACGGGTATGGACCAATTTTGGCTTTCCTTGTAGGTTGGTTGGCTTATACGTGAAGGTTGGGAAAAAAAAAAAAAACCCTCAGTATGCAGAACACCTTTTTGTCTGCTCATAAAGAAGAAATACAAACTAAATGTGTACACAAAGGTGGTCTGGGGGTAAATGTGCTGTGATGCAAATGTTACTTGCTCCTGTATGCCCAGGGTCCTGCAGCCCTGTCTTCTTCTGGGGGTTTGAGGAGAGCAAATAAGTTTTGTTGTAGATAGAAAATACAAATTTTGTGATATTTAAAGCCCATCTTCAGGGTGCATACATCAGTCTATAGGCAGCTTTCATGGTTCAAACTAGTGGTCATGCAGCCAATACCATCTCTTCTTCCTTGGGCCCAAGAAGCTGGATGATGCACCATATGTAGTCCAGAGGACTACAGGTGTGTCTCTGGCCAGATGAAGTTAGGTTGACACTGGTCCTCATCAACAAGAAGTAGAATGGTGAGAGTAGGGGACTGCAGCTGCAGCAGTATGGACAAGGCAAGTATGGCTAGTGGAACCTAAAAGCCCTCTACTGAACCAATATGTAGCACTTTCCAGGACAAAAGGTAATGACAAGTCTAAATTCCATCACAAATCCTAAAAATAAGAGGATTATTCCTCACTTCAGGATATCAGAGGGAGTGTTTTATTCAAAAAGATGGATGTTTGGTATGTGAATTTTAGTGTTTAAAAAAAAATTAAATTATGTAATGAAATGACACAATGAAAATCACCTAGTGATTTGAGCCTTTAGTAGGATATACAGTGAGGAACAGAAGTATTTGAACACCCTGCAATTTTGCAAGTTCTCCCACTTAGAAATTATGGAGGGGTCTGAAATTCAGATTGCAGGTGCATTCCCACTCTGAGAGACAGAATTAAAAAAAAAAAAAAATCACTTTGTATGATTTTTAAAGAATTTATTTGTCTTGCACTGCTGAACATAAGTATTTGAACACCTAAGAAACAGCAAGAGTTCTGGCTCTCAAAGACCTATTACTGTGCCTTTAAAAAGTCCACCTCTACTCCACCCATTAATCTAACTTAGTGGCACCTGTCTGAGCTCTTTAAAGACACCTGTCTACCCCACAGTCAGACGCCAACTACTACCATGGGCAAGACCAAAGAGCTGTCAAAAGACATCAGAGACAAAAGTGTGGACCTCCACAAGGCTGGAAAAGGCTACGGTGAAATTGCCAAGCAGCTTGGTGAAAATAGATTACCTGTTGGAGCAATTGTTAGAAAATGGAAGAGGCTAAAGACGACTGTCAGTCTCCCTCGGACTGGGGCTCCATGCAAGATCTCACCTCGTGGGGTATCACTGATGATAAGAAAGGTGAGGAATGAGCCCAGAACTACAAGGGAGGAGCTGGTCAATGACATGAAGAGAGCTGGGAACACAGTTTCAAAGGTCACTGTCGGTAGAACACTACGCTGTCATGGTTTCAAATCATGCATTGCACGGAAGGTTCCCTTGCTCAAGTCATCACATGTCCAGGCCCTTCTGAAGTTTGCCAATGACCATCTGGATGATCCAGAGGAGGCATGGGAGAAAGTCATGTGGTCAGATGAGACCAAAGTAGAACTTTTTGGTCTAAACTTCACTTGTCGTGTTTTGAGGAAAAAGGAAGAGTTGCATCCCAAGAACACCATCCCTACTGTGAAGCATGGGGGTGGTAACATCATGCTTTGTGGGTGCTTTTCTGCAAAGGGGACATGACGACTGCACTGTATTAAAGAGAGGATGAATGGGGCCATTTATTGTGAGATTTTGAGCAACAACCTCCTTCCCTCTGTCAGAGCATTGAAGATGGGTCGTGGCTGGGTCTTCCAACATGACTACGACCCGAAGCGCACAGCCAGGATAACCAAGGAGTGGCTCCGTAAGTAAGCATATCAAGGTTCTGGAGTGGCCTAGCCAGTCTCCAGACCTAAATCCAATAGAACATCTTTGGAGGGAGCTGAAACTCCGTGTTGCTCAGTGACAGCCCCGAAACCTGACAGATCTAGAGGAGATCTAGGTGGAGGAATGGGCCAAAATCCCTGTTGCAGTGTGTGCAAACCTGGTCAAGAACTACAGGAAACGTTTGACCTCTGTAATTGCAAACAAAGGTATCTGTACCAAATATTAACACTGATTTTCTCAGGTCTTCAAATACTTATGTTCAGCAGTGCAAGACAAATACATTCTTTAAAAATCATATAATGTGATTTCCTGTTTTTTTTTGTTTTTTTTTTAAATTCGGTCTCTGAGTGGGAATGCAGCTACAATGTGAATTTCAGATCCCTCCATGATTTCTAAGTGGGAGAACTTGCAAAATCACAGGGTGTTCAAATACTTCTGTTCCTCACTGTAGCTCTTCAGGTTGTATTTAAATTTTTTATCGATTTTTTTTTGTTTTCCTTTTCAGGTGCCAATTTTGAAACCCATGGATTTAATGGTTGAAGCAAGTCCAAGGAGGATATTTGCAAATGCACATACATATCATATAAACTCTATTTCAGTAAATAGTGATCATGAAACATACCTTTCAGCAGATGACCTGAGAATTAATTTATGGCATTTAGAAATTACAGATAGAAGTTTTAGTATCCTTTTCTGGTGACCTGTGTATTGGGGTATTCCATTCATGAATAATACCAAAACCGATATATTTACTGTTGCCTTTGTAAACTCTGCTGAAAGATAATTCTTTCCTAGGTCAATTGGGGTTTTAATGAAGATGACATATATGCTGATGAGGAGTAACTTGCAAAAATTAGAGCATTTAGTGTAAAAAGCACATATAGCCCAGGCCTTGGCTAACGTTTTGATGGGTTTTGCACCAAGAAGGGCCTAAATTGGAGTTTGCCACCTAAAACTAACTTGCACAATGTAGTGTAAGTTCTATAGCTGTAAAGAAATTGTTAAAAAGTGTCCATAAATTGATAGAATTGTTCAGCAGACTCCAATAGCTCTGATCAACAGATGAAAATCCACTGATCAGAGCTGTTCACCTAAAAAGTGACACCCCCCTCACCGATACCACCAATGCTACTGCCATTGCAGCCCCGTGTCTCCTCCATTCTCTCTCTACCCCCTGCCGCTGCTATTTAGTGCTTTCCCACATTCACTCCCACAGCACCGATTCACCCCCCTCCCGTAACCTCAATCCCTTGTGGCTACTCTACAGCCGCCGGCTTTCCTCCATTCCCACTGGCTTCGGGAGGATAGGGCAGCCACAGAGGCTTTGAACCTGTGCCCTCAGACCCCTGCAATGGCACCCTTCATCTGATCCCCCAATCTGTCCCCCGTTGTGCTGCCAGCCGCATTCCCTCCTCCCCCTCCCACCAGCTGTTGCTGGGGCACGCAAGGAAGCTGTAAATATTGGTTTACCAGAGCCCTTCCTTTCCTAGACTGGACACCGTCAGTGATCACTACTGATTTCTCCTATGTCCATTAATCACTATTAGTCTCTATACAGACTCCTTATTTATTCATTCATTACAGTGCAGCTTAGCTGCAGAGGAAGGGACTGTCTTCAGTCCCTTTCTCAGTCTCAGAAAAGAGACCCCTCAGAAAAGAGACCCCTCAGAAAAGAGACCCCTCAGAAAAGAGACCTCTCAGAAAAGAGACCTCTCTTTAGAGCCCTGGTATCTCATCCACCCCAACCCCTGCCCAGGAAAAAAAAAAATTAACAAAATATTAAAAAAAAAATGTAAAAATAGATAAATGGCGTGGTCACCGGAGTTTAAAAGTGGAGAGCAGGGTCTGGCAGCGAAAGTGTTAATGGTGGGTTTAACATTCATGCATTCTTGAATCGTGAGAGCCCAGGTGCATTTTTTTTTTTTTTTTTTTTTTTTTTCTCTGCCAAAGCTATTTCTGCATTTTTGGACACGTTAAGATACTCGCACATTATATATTTTCTGAAAGCGGAGACCGTAGAGAAAATGTTTTTTATGTCACACAATATTGGTCCGATTTATCAAGGCCATATTTTCTGTGTTTAAAAGGGAAAAAATGCACTAAAGTAAACTTTAGTGCATACACATAAAATATATTTACCTAAGTTTTGGTACAATATAAAATGTGGTTCTGAATACATGGATGCCAAGCATTTAAAATTGCACAGTTCGTTGAAGCAGTGACAGACTTTTGTATGCAAAACTTTCCATCCATAGGCAACAATATTCAAGCCCCATACAGTTCATCAGTTTAGATTTAATGGTAAATGATTAATTTAGAATTATTGCCCCTTGTTTTGGTGTGTGCAGCAATGCATATATCTATGTACATATAAGGGTATTTGGAATAATTTTTAGATGCAGTTTTTTTTACAGTTGGTGAACCTCTGCTCATCTTTACTATTGAAACACTGACTCTGTATAATGCCCTTTTTATATCCAGTCATGTTGCTGACCTGTTGCTAGTTAACTTCATTAGTTGTAAAATGTTCTTCCAGTTCTACTAGTTAGTACCACTTACTTTGCCAGCTTTTTGTTGCCCTGTCCCAACTTATGAAATGTTGCTGCCATCAATTTCAAAATTGCCTTTTTTTTTTCTTTAAATGGTACATTTTCTCAGTTTAAACATTTTTGATATGTTCTCCATTTTGAATAATATGAGTTTGAGATTTGCAAATCATTGCATTCTCTTTTTTACCTTTTTGTAGATTTACCCTTCCTCCTAGGTTTTTATTTTATTTTTTGTTTTTTTACTAGTTAGGATGGATCAGGGTCCCCTTCCCCTCTGCCTGGCCTCACCAAACCATGCCAGTCCCAGGCCCACAGGTGGTACAGCGGAGACTAGGAAACAGGGCAGTGGGCAACAGTGTCAGGGGTCAGTGTGAGTTATTGGGCAGCTGTAGAGCCGTTGGGTCACTTTTATGTGAAATTTGACAGTCTGCTTATGAAATGTACATGCATTCCAGTGTTTGTAGAAAAGCATCTCACTGCTTGTGTAAGCCTTATGTTTATGGCAGTTAAAGTGTAATGCTAGCCCAGGAGTAGAATAGTGATCTTTTTTTTTTTTTTTTTTTTACTAGTACAATGTGTATCCACTAAAAATACTGGTCAAGCCTGGTGATAACCATACAGGAGCAATGCAAAAATAAAAACAATGCTAGGACATGTTCTAGAGCAGCCTTTTTCAATCTTTTTAACCTGAAACCCTTGTAATACCTTTTTGCTTGATTAGGGTGTTAGGTAGTCTCCCAGCTTCTCCCATTAAGGTTTACTCAGTATTCTTAGGCTCCTAGCTGCTTCCATCCACTGCTGGGTAACGAGTCTTGTCTGACCCCTAGCTGCTTCCATCAGTTTGCGGGGTAATTGGTCTTGCCACACACCCCCTAGCTAAATTGTTTCTTAGGGCAGGAGGCACGCTATTTAAATCACATGAATCTGTGTGCTTGTGATTGCATTTGCTTCCTGGCTCCATTTTTGTATCGGCCTGACTACTGCCTTGTTGTCGGATTGCTCTTGTACCCGGAGTACTGTTTGGGATTGCCGCCTGAACTTGGCCTTGGATTGCTAATTGGACTAAGCTTGCTTGCTACCAGCCCTGACTTTGAACCTATTTTTGGACTACACCTGCTTCCCTGTCTCAGTCCCAGTGTCATCTGGGGTCAGTAACAATATCATCCCACTTGAAGATCTTGCGGCATGTTGTGGTTAGGGCCTCATCCAGGTGGCCCATGCACCTCTTCGGTACTTTCACTCAATAGTGCTCTGTTGTTCTTCAGAAGATCTACATTACAGTGATATGGTACTGCATGGATGGTTCTGTGGCTAGCCAGATAATCTCTAGAGAGGGCGGAGAAGCCACTCTTTAAAAAAAAAAAAAAAAAAAAGTTTAAATTCTTTGAATAACATAGCTTGTCATTATCATTGGCCACACAGAGGAGGGTACACCCCAGGGTATGTGTAATGCAACCTTGACAAAAAAAGGGGGTTGAAGTTTTCCAATACATTAATAGTGGCAGCTTTATTTTTCTTAAATTTCTTCCATTGATATTGCCTGGATTAACTGTACAATTCTTCTGTGGGTTGCAGAACATAGTCTGGCACAACTCTCTAGTGTCAGTATTGAATCAAATCAACCATATTCTTTAATGTGTTTGCCATAGTTTTTGGATCCCTTTTACATTCCTTTCAATTCCAGGTGACATATTGAGAGAATTTGAACTGAAATGTGGAAAATTGTCCTTAACGCTGTTTTCAGACATTGTAGATATTAAGCCTGCCAACATGGAGGAATTAACAGAAGTTATCACAGCTGCTGAATTCCATCCTCATCAATGTAACGTGTTTGTCTACAGCAGTAGCAAAGGAACAATTAGGCTTTGCGACATGCGAGATGCAGCACTCTGTGATAGACATTCGAAATGTAAGATAAGTTCCTTCTCTAAACATTTTTTGTTTGTCCAGACATGGTTCTGGCACATCAAAAACAGGATGCTAATAAATGATTGATAAAGTACCATTCACTTTTAAGTATTTAAGTACCTTGCTGAGTAAGTTCATAACTATTTGTAGCATCTGGTGGCAATAGAATTTGAAAATAATTATGAAAATGTGCTCCTTGCCCAGCCATACACTTACCAGGTTCTTATTTCTTGACAGATGTTTGCTTTAACTTCAGTGTTCTTAAATGTACGAAGTGACTATATCGTAGGCAAGGTCCATTGACCGTACAAAGCTGGTTTTATATGTTAAATAACTTCATACACTTTTTAATAGCATCAGGTCAGTTAAACTGCTGGGATGTTGATCTGGCCAGTTAAGTAGCAGAAGGGGTTGTTAATCAGTGTCAGCTGCTTTGGTGTTAATGAAATTAACAGGTGCACTAGATGGGCAACAACTAAACGACCCCAAAACAGGAATTGTTTTACAGGTGGAGGCCACTGACATTTTTCCCTACTCATCTTTTCTGACTGTTTTTCACTAGTTTTGCATTTGGCTAGGTTCAGTGTCACTACTGGTAGCATGAGGTGATACCTGGACCCTACAGAGGTTGCACAGGCAGTTCAACTCCTCCAGGATGGCAATCAATACATGCCATTGCCAGAAGTTTTGCTGTCTCCCAGCATGTAGGAGATTCCAGGAGACATGCATTTACTCTAGGAGGAGAGCTGGACAGGGCCGTGGAAGGTCCTTAACCCATCAGCAGGACCGGTATCTGCTCCTTTGTGCAAGCAGAAATAGGATGAGCACTGCCAGAGTCGTACAAAATGACCTCCAGCAGGCCACTAGTGTGAACGTCTCTGACCAAACAATCAGAAACAGACTTCATGAGGGTGGCCTGAGGGCCTGACGTTCTCTAGTGGGCCCTGTGCTCACTGCCCAGCACCATAGAGCTCAATTGGCATTTGCCATTGAACACCAGAATTGGCAGGTCTGCCACTGGCGCCCTGTGCTTTTCACAGATGAGAGCAGATTCACCCTGAGCACATGTGACAGACATGAAAGGGTCTGGAGAAGCCATGGAGAATGTTGTGCTGCTTGTACAATCATTCAGCATGATGTTTTGGTGGTGGATCAGTGATGGTCTGGGGAGGCATATCCATGGAGGGGACGCGCATACATCTACAGGCTAGACAATGGCACCCTGACTGCCATTAGGTATCGGGACCCTACGCTGGTGCAGTGGGTCCAGGGTTTCTACTGGTGCATGACAATGCCCGGCCTTATGTGGCGAGAGTATGCAGGCAATTCTGGAGGATGAAGGAATTGATGTCATTGAATGGCTCCCACACCTGACCTTAATACAATAGAACACCTCTGGGATATCATGTTTCAGTCCATCCGATGCCTCCAGGTTTCACCTCAGACTGTTCAGGAGCTCAGTGATGCCCTGGTCCAGATCTGGGAGGAAATACCCCAGGACACCATCTGTCGTCTAATTAGGAGCATGCCTCAATGTTGTCAGGCATGCATACGTGGGGGCCACACATACTACTGAGTACATTTTGAGTTGCTTCAATGAAATTTCAGCAGAATGGACTATCCTGCTGCATCATTTTTTCACTTTGATTTTCGGGGTGTCTGAATTCAGTCCTCTGTAGTTGATAATTTTCATTTCCATCAAATCCTTACGTTCATAACACATTACCCAGTCATATCAGTATAGATAATGCAATTTTTTTTTTTTTTCCCCATTGAGATCAGAAAGTATTCCTTAATTATTTTATTATACCTTGCTCAAAAAAAATAAACTGCATGGTGCCTTCCAGGGAGACCTTGTTGGATGTTGCTCATGAGCCATATGCATCTTATCTTGGTTGTGGTGTTCAAGAAGCAATCAAGGTTGATCTCATGCATGGATACAGAAGCTACCTTGGTTTCTTACTGAACAATAAGGCAAAGACAGATTGGGTACGGTGCATGTGCACGATCTGGCACAGATTTTATTTGGTTCGACACAGATCCAGTATCAACAAGCCGTCTGCCAATGTATTATTAAAATGACGGCCCTGGCACAGGCAGAACAGATATGCAGAGGATTTGATAAGCTATGAAAACAAATGGGTTAATGAAATCAGTAAAACTTGAACTTGTTCATCTAAGTCATAGCACTATGGGAGTAGGGGGGGGAGAGGAATGGTCTGCTTTTCTTGAAAAGAACTCCATGGATGTTTTTAAAACTATTGTAACCTACCCTCTTCTTATTTACTGACTTAAAATTATCTTCCTAGTTTTTGAAGAACCTGAAGATCCCAGTAGCAGATCATTTTTCTCTGAAATCATCTCCTCTATATCAGATGTCAAGTTTAGTCATAGTGGCCGCTACATGATGACCAGAGATTACCTGTCTGTCAAAGTCTGGGATCTCAACATGGAGAACAGGCCGGTAGAAACATATCAGGTTAGTTTGTGATCTGCTTACCTTTCTATATTCTTAGTTTTCTACCCATATGATCCAACTTTCGTAACAAAACCTATGCTTCAACATTGCACAGGTTCATGAATATCTTCGAAGTAAGCTTTGTTCCCTTTATGAAAATGACTGCATCTTTGACAAATTTGAGTGCTGCTGGAATGGATCTGATAGGTGAGTGGCTAAGCTGCCAAAAGTGTCTATGGCTTAAAGGGAAACAAATGGTTTTGGATCAATTGTGTGTTTTTTTTTTTTTTTTTTTAAATATACATTAGATGGTGTCCTCTTTAAAGTTGTATTTCTGCTTTTGCTCTCAAATTTGTGAAAATCCCACTATGCATGTTCACACAACATACTTTAAAAAAAAAAAAAAAAAAAATTTTTTTTTGCCCAGTTCACACCACTTGCAGTCCAGCGGTGTTTTTTTTCTTTTGTGTGTGTTTTTTTTTTTTTTTTTTTTTTTTTTTTTTTTTTTTTTCTGCATCAAAAACTCATTGATAGTAGGTTACATGGTTTCCAATGGCATAGTTCACATCAGTGTGGTCAGTTCCAGTGCGTTCCAGTTCCAAAAAAAAAACATGCTGCATTTTTTTCCTGAACTGTACTGGAAAACGCTGTAAAATGCACGTCCTTATTTAGGTTGAAGAGAGAGGAAAAAATGAACTGTAATGCATTAAAAATGCACATACAGAAACGCACCCAGACTGCATTTCTATGGTGTGAACCAGCCCTAAAAGATGTTTTTCATGAGAAGACCTCATGGCATACTACAAGCTTTTATGTATAATCTCGGTAAGCATGTCCCGGAGACTGAGCTTCTCTTTTATCAATGCAGGAAGCCAGCTTCTAAATATTTAACCCTTTGTTAGGATAGGCTGTGCTTAAAGATAAAAATATTAGTATCTCACCTAATCCAGTGAATACAAGTGGCACATACATTTCATAATGCTATCATTAAAAATCAATTATTTTTCATATAGTGTCACTTTGTCTTCACCATGATTGCTGTAACAAAAAAATACATAAATAAAAAAATAATTATGAAACAACTTGGTGACTGGCACAAAAAATTGTGACAGTCCACAGTTCCCGTGACTTAAAAATTATATATAAACAAACTCAAAAAAAGTCCTGTGGTAAACAAGAAATTAAAGTCCAGTGTTGAAATTAATTCATGTGACATGACAAAAAAAAAGTGTTGAAACTGAGCCCACCGTGCAGCCCCACTCAGGTGTGCACTCACCAGAAATTGCCTTTTTTAAAGCATAATCAAGAGGATATCCATTAATTAGACCAGGAAGTTCCTCCAAGACTCACCCTCCTAAGATTGGTTGCCAGGATAATTGAAAGACTCCACTTCATCATATGGAAAGAGAAGAAAAATATCTGCTCAAATAGTATGTTACCCAAGATAAATGACTTTATTTGCTCCAAGTAATGCACTCACAACATTAAAAACCTCAAGAAGCCCAAATGATCAATCCTAGTGTAATACAGATACCGCATGGTGCTCTCACCACTTCCGGAACTGTCGGACAGAACGCCTGACTTGCTCATAGACCACTATGAGTAAGGATATGACGAAACGCGTCAGAACGTGATGGTGCGGCAGGCCGGAAGTGACGTAGATCCGTAACCGAAAGTGATGGCTATATTAAATGACCCTACTGGTAAGAAATTGGAAGAAATTTCTGAGTCCGTTTATGCCTTCAATGGGCTCTGTCCTTCAAACTAGGTTTTGCTTCGGCTTTTCTTAGACCTTGGCTGACTGGTCCAGACCCCTAAGCAGGGACTTGAAGTTTGCTGGCATTAACAGTCTACCTTTTTTGTTGGTGCACCACAATTATCAGATCAAAGTGTGGTTCAGTGCTAAATGAGCAATATCTATGGTAATCCTTCCTCTGTTCAGATCCGTTTTGCAGTGGACGAAAGTCCCTGTCAGTTTGTGACCTTTCCATTGGTCTTGCCTTCGCTCCAGGGATTGTTCACAAAGGTGCTTGCATTGGCTTCAGGGACTCCAGTGTGTTAATCACACTGCAGAACTCTGATTCAGTTACATTGCTTGGAGTACTTTGATACTCTCCTTGATACCCTTCAGGCCAAGGTCTTTCTGCCCTGGCAACAGTTGACAAAGCTCCAGAGTCAGGTTTGACAACTTCAGTCCCCGGATCATCCCTCCCTGAAGTACTGCACGCAGGTTCTAGGACTGATGTATCCACCTTCAAAGCCATTCCATCTGCTCAATTACACTCTTTCCTGAGCTTTCCTGCATGAGACAACTCCAGCCTGTCCATGGGCAGGACGTTTCAAATTCATCTTCAAGCCAAGATGTCCCTATCTTGGTGGCTTCTGTCCCTGGCATTAACGGCGTGCAGATTGTCTTCACCTACAGTGTTAGATTGCCAGCCTTGTAGGACATTTCTTTGACTTTATTATGTTAGCCTTTCTTGTGGCCATCACTTTGGCATGAAGGGCCTCTTGAGAATCAGCATTGTACTGTAAGAAACCCTAATTTGGTTTGACATAAAGAAAATGCTATTTTTAAGACCAAGATTTTTTTCCCTAAAGTGCTCTCTGCTCTTCAGTTTGAGGATGTTGGTTACCTTCTTTGTGCTGGCACCAGTTCCCTTCTAGGGAATCCTTTCTCTCCATTGTCTGTATGTGATGAGGTACAATCGGGGTTTAGCTTTCAGCCACTACTTCCTTACATCAAATTGAATCCATGTTTGTTATTCCTGAAGGTAATAAAGTAGGTTATCTGGCTTTCAGACTTTTTTTTTTTTTTTTATACCTTTTTAGGACTGCTTGCTGCATGTGGGTGAGGTTATATAGTTTCCAAGGCTCTGGCCTTCAGTTTCTATGCACATATCGTCCATTTCTACCATAGCAATATAACCCTACGTCACGTATCGAGCTGTGTCCCTTGAGGAAGAGTATTTTCCCATCAGTTTGTGAGCATGTGAACACACCATAGGTAGTGAAATCTTGGGACTGGTAGCATGTATCATCTACGTATAGGCTGGTGGGTCTTGTCTGATGGCCAGCGTTTTACATTAAAATCTGTAAATTGCATGAGGAGGATTATAGAAAACAGTGATTGCAAGAAGGTGGGGCTTGGCGCAGATGAGACTTCTCCACATTTATGAAATGTCTGGCAACATTTCATTTCTGCTTGGGTGTCTGTCTCCACTACAGCACAGAGGAGCTGCGGAGAGGGATGCTTCCGTGATTGACAAGTTGTAGGATAATTGACACTGTTTGTGTCTGCAGCTGCATTTTTATATATTGAAATTCCTTACTCTTTAGATTAGTAAATCAACCCCTATGTTTTCATAAATATTTTTACAAAGGCAAATAGACTGTGCACTTTGCAAAGGCAGTTTCTTCAGAGCTTAGTATTTGAGGTAAAGCTTCACTTTGCAAAGAATACCCACTCGTATGCAAGGAAAATAAAAACATAATTTCTGCTTGCACGTGATTGGATGATAGAAGTCAGCAGAGCTTCTGCTCATTTACTAAGCTCTGAATTAATTGCACTTGCAGAGTGCAGCTGCATCTTGCAAAGTGTATAGTCTATTTGCCTTTAGTAAATCAACTCCATTGTATGCTTTTTTTTTTTTTTTTTTTTTTTTTTTTTCCTTACTAAGTGATTTAAGTGTTTATCATATTTTTTAGTGCGATTATGACGGGATCTTACAACAACTTCTTCAGAATGTTCGACAGAAACACACGTCGGGATATCACCTTGGAGGCCTCTAGAGAGAGCAGCAAACCACGTGCCATTCTAAAGCCAAGGAAAGTCTGTACGGGTGGTAAGAGGAAGAAAGACGAGATCAACGTCGACAGCCTAGACTTCAACAAAAAGATTCTACACACTGCATGGCACCCTAAAGAGAATATTATTGCTGTTGCTGCCACCAATAATTTGTATATATTTCAGGACAAAGTTAATTAAAGATGGTATTTTCTTTTTTTCCTTTTTTTTTTTTTTTTTTTTTTTTTTTTTTTCCTTTTCCCCTCTCCATAATTTTGAGGACAAAGTCTTGTTCTTGCATAGTTAAACCTAGTTGTTTATCTGTAAGAGATCAGACCGTGTTGTCCTACCACTAAACAAAAAATTGGATGCGCTTTCCTGTGTAGAAAATAAATGAAAAACAACTTGGCAGGAAGCCAACCTGGATTTTTTTTTTTCATGGTAATGCTCCATACAGTAAGGAGGAAGCCAGGGCCACCTAGTGTCCATAACCCAGAGGGCAAGACCGCTAGGAGCAAAACTCAAGAGGTCAGTACTCTGCCTGTGTTTAAATGAATTTATTTCATTGCCATAGACCAATTTCATTAGCTGGAGGGAAACAGAAACTTAGTGTTTTAAATGTAATAGTTTGACCTTTCCATTGTTCTGTAATTGTTAATGGACTTTGGCCTTAATTCAGAACGGAACTACAGTTTTTCTCCTTTTTGTTTTACTTCCTAAGCCTAACCATCAAATCCAAACAATGAAATGCTATAAAGTTGCCTAACAGCAGTAATTATGTGGCATTGTTGGCCACTTGTGGAAAAAAATTAAATTAAAAAAAGTGACCACCTACCCCCAATTCTTCAGCACGTTGGAATTTTGCAGGTCTTGGCCAGGAAAAGCTCTGATTGTGTAATGTAGGAGCTTCATAAGCAGCACCCAGTGTAGCAGAAGGCACAGGCACATTTTTTACTGGGTGCTGCACACTGGACTTCATATTTGCTGCTCTCTCATGGCAAGGAAAGATGAATATTCCCTGCAGCTTGTTTTCACAAATCCTGTCTTTCCTCAGTCACAGCTACTGGCGTTATGTGCACCTTGGTCCATAAAGTCCCATTATTTTTACAGTGAGTAATCACTATTGGGTGACATACTATCAGTAAGTATGCAAATCAAGAATCCGCTACATTGCTTTGACTGCCCTAAACTATTAAACGGTGAAAATCGACTAGTTAACAGTTACTACACATAAATTCCCATTGTCTGTAACATTCCTGTAATCTTTCTGTAGGCTTGGCCATTGCTGTATTTGAGCAGTTCATTTGAATTGGTTCAGTAGGCAGTGCCAAGCACCTTCCCCTCCTCCATTCACTGTATTTCTAACCACTTTCTTGTGGAAACCCCTTTATGAAATTTGTTAATAAAGTATGAAAAGAAGCAGGCTTTTTTTTAGAATTTGGACTTTTCTATTTGCCTTTTTTTTCCTGTATACTGTTGATACAACCCAGCTGACTTTGTATTTTCAGCATTCATGTGTTGCAACTTTTTATTTTTTCCTTTATTTTTTATGAAATGGTAAGGTTTCAGCACCATTCAGCTGAGAAGTTGTATTTCCCAGCATGCTCTGCTTGCCAGGACTACTATGGGATTTCCATATTCTCAAGACCTGTCATTTGACTGAATTTTAACCTACTTGGTTATATTTGTCGGTATCCAGTGAACGGAAGTTAAAAGTACAGGGGTTTTGCACAGTATTATGTAGGACGGTTGTAACATGCTAACAATTGTCATAGTGTACCTAATGTGCATTATTATTATTATTTTTTTTTTTTATACGGTTTTTTTTTGTTTTTGTCTACTCCATCACTGCACCTCAGCCCGGGATATTTTTAATTTGTTAATGCCAAACAATATTTTTATATTTTTTTTCTTACAAAATGGCTGCAATGAACAAATAGGTTTAACTGTAAACAGTTGCTTGACACTTGGAATTGGTTTCCTATAGCTAAGTAGGCGAGATGCGTCTAGTCGTAGGAAGCTGAGACTGGTACTAAGTGCAAGAATTTTGTGCCTCTTTGGAGACGAGAAAACACGTTGACCTTCAATCTGTTTTTTAATAAATTCATTGGTCAGTTCAGACAGTAATAATATGCAAGAACAAAATATGTACCTCATCCCCGATTAATGTCCATAGAGTGCCACTCTTCATATTAGACTTGGCTCAAGATAAAGGCCAACTCTTCCTTTCTGGCAAATTTGATATTTTAAGGCAGGATGGCAAAATTAGCTTTCTAAATGGTGTTGCCCATCTTGTATGCTTCATGATGGTTTAGACTCTTAAAGAATTAGCACTGCCTAATAGGAAGTGTTCAATTGTGTGCGTGCGTGTGTGTGTGTTGGGAACTTGGAATGTTATGAATATTTAAATGTTCGTGTGATTGGCTGTACAGAATTGTAGTCCTCCATGGTAATGAAACTTTCATACACTGACACTTCCAAACACTGTAGAAGCACAACAAATTGGGTAAAACACTGTTTAAAGAGCTGATTGATTCACTTTTCTGTCTTTAAAGTATGACTTTTTAAGAAAGGTGCAGTTGCGGTTTGAAATTCAGATTTTTTTTTTTTTTTTACATAAACAAAGGCTTAAAATATTAAAAAAAAATCTTCCTATCTTGTATATTGGTTGTGACACTATTTCAAATTGCTAAGTTGTGAAACTTTTTGGCCATAAAATCTGACCATGTTCATGAAATAGAAAACAGACCTATACAACGGGATTGTATATATTTGTTCAATTATTTTGACCAAAAAGTTTAATAAATTTTAAATGTTTACCTGAATTTGAGTTGTGTGTTTATAATTTATTTTTTTGCATTCTTTTTATATAACCAGTTTTTTTTTTTTTTTTTTTTTTTTGTCTACTGTACTAAGAGAAAAAGTATTAGCTGCTGTGAACAAAGTGAGTTCTGCAGCTGCTACACACACTTTTAGCAAGGCACTTTCAGCTCTGATTGCCCATTTAAATATTCAGTTTAAAGCGGTAGTACTGCAGGTAAAAAAATTTTTTTAATGTGCTAGTATGCATCTCACACTAGCACATTTATGAAGGACTTACTTTAACACAGCTCTCCAGCAGCGCGCTGTCACTGCTGACAGGGCTTCCATCTTCACCTGGTCTTCCTTCCGGATTCACGAACTCCAGCTGTCTGACCGAAAATGTCACTCCCGCACATGTGCAGGGGTGTCCCCAGGCCACGGCACAGTGCTTTAAAGGAATGACACGGGTATGCTCTTCCTTCAGAGCGCATGGGCCTGCTCTCAAAAAGAGCTATCATCTTTTTACTTTCAGATAAGCTTTATTAGAGTTTACTACCACTTTAATGATTTTCAAGTGTGTTGTGGATGTTTGCACTGTGGCCCTATGACATCCAAATGTATGCACGATTTCTGCTTATGTGAAAGAACAAGAATTTCTTTCCATTGTTCCACAGCATTTCTTCCAATTGTGACACACCGTTCTGCTAATTGGGTGGATATAGAAATAGAATCACTCCCCTTTTTAAAATCACATTTTGTTTTGCAGCCTGAAATGAAGAGACAGTTTTTGTTTTATCCAGCTGTGCAACTTATATAACACCAACATGGCAGAAAAAAAACACTGAGTTGGAAAAAGAATCACCCCCCTCCTAATGACTCAATTGGGTGTAGCTAATCACCTGCTCAATGGCACACAAAGCAATTTGACTTTCAACTGTGAACAGCTGTTGTCATTTTGATTAGCTCAGCATTAAAAGAGCTTTCCTGAAACATTTCAGTCTTTGATAGTGCAACTAAAGCAAACAATCAACTATGGGTGGCAAGGTACCTGAGCAAGATCTCTGAGATAAAGTTGTGGCCAGGCACAAGTCAGGAGATGGATACAAAAAAATGTCAAAGGCTTTATCAATACCTAGAAGCACAGTGAAGTCTATTAAGAACGGAAGGTATTTGGTACAACACTCCCTGGGCCATGACGTCGCTCCATACTGGATGAAAGAGCCAGGAGGAAACTGGTCAGAGATGCTACTAAGATTCCTACAGCAACTGAAGCAGTTTCAGGCATTTATCACAGTGGTCGTTGTGTACATGTGACGACAAGATCACAAATTCTCCACAGATGTGGCTTGTATGGGAGGGTTTCAAGCAAATAGCCACTTCTCAAGAAATGCCACATGCAGTCACAACTGAGCTTTGCCAAAATGCACCTTGGAGATTCTGAGTCCACATGGAAAAAAGGTGTTCTGGTCAGATGAGACTAAAATTGAATTATTTGGCCTCAACACTATATGTCTGGTGGAGATCCAACACACTGCACTTATTATATAAGTGAGTATTTTGACAAAAATCATCATTTTTATGCATACTGTCCAACTCCAAGCTGTGTAAACCTGAATGCTTATTGGATTTAAGCATATCGTGTAATGAGACCGTGCAGCCTAAGGAGATCAATGCCCTATAGCAATGTGCATGTTTATTAGGCAGTTACTTTTCCTCAGGAAAAATAGGCCAAAAAGCTTTAACTGACTGAAATGTCAAAAATTGTAAAAGTATTTCAGAGGGATTCAGCGCTCTTAAAACTAAGATATTGAGGTGTGTGATCACAGAACCATCAAACATTTTGTTGCAAATCGCTAAAAGGGTTGCAAGAAACATGTTGAGAAAAAAAAAGATACAATTTAACTGTCAAAAATTGCAGAATCAAACGTGACGCTACCAGGAACCCATTATTCTCCAGTTAGTGTCATATTGCAGAACTGCAACCTACCTGGAGTGCCCAGAAGTACAAGGAGCTCAGAGATATGGCCAAGGTAAGGAAGGCTGAAACCCGACAACCGCTGAACAAGACACATAAGTTGAAACATCAAGACTGGGCCAAGAAATATCTGAAGAAAGATTGTTCAAAAGTTTGATGGGCCTGTGGCTGGATCAGTAATGGGCACAGAGCTCCACTTTGACTCAGACACCAGCAAGGTGGAGGTGGGGTACTGGTATGGGTTGGTATTATTAAAGATGAGCTAGTTGAACCTTTTTAGGTGAAGATGGAACTCAAAATAAACTTCCAAACCTACTGCTAGTTTCTAGAAGACACTTTCTTCAAGCAGTGGTACAAGAAAAAGTCTGCATCTTTCAAGAAGACCATGATATTTATGCAAGACACTGCTCTATTGCATACATCG